ACCTGCCAAGGAGAACAAGTGTTCTTTCTTCCCTTCTCTGTAAGAGCAGGAATGTAACCACACCTGGACACTCTTTTACAAGAGACTGTATTAATATAAGTTAATCTCTGTTCCCAGATCCATTCATTCTCCCCAGTAGTCCTTTATTGCCTCTCAACAGAATGCCTCTTCTCCTCCTTTGGCCTCTACACTAACTCCCTCTACACTAACTACCGTCTGAATTCTTGTAAAGGGACTGCTGAATGTCACTGCTACTGTTATGTTTTTTTTTTTTTTGTAGCAGCAGCTCTCTGGGCCTTCTCTATAACCTTCTTTAACCTTGTCAAATAAGACAAATATGCCAGTGGAGTAAAAATTGTCTGTACTTAAAGATTAGAAAAGGTTTGCATCAGTATGTAATGATTTTTTTTTTTTTCCACTTTCTGGAATGATCTGTGGTTTGGCAGTAGGGTGTTAACATGGATGCTATCTATGTTCTGTTTATGGGCCCTTGTGATACACGTATCTTCCTCTGCTCATGTACACAAGTGGGAGTTACTTTTCTGTTCTTTGGGTTATTTGGATTTTCCTTATTAAGTTGTTTAAGTATTCTTTATCAAGTATATTTTTTATTTCTAGAAGGAGCACCCAAAATATTTTTATCGTAGTCATTTGGTGGACCATCACTGGTGGCCTGGGCCAGGGGTTTTAAACTTTTCTTAAACAGGAGACCGTCTTTTTTCAAATGAGATCTTCATCAGAACACCATAGTGTAAAGTAGATAAAGGCAGAAGTACACTGGTCCAAGTGGAGTAGTCAGACCCCAGACTGCTTGGTTCCCCCCTGGTACCTTCCAGCAGCCACCTCCAGGAAGTGGTTACTACAATAAGCAGCAGGCAGGCGTCACTGGAGTAAAGTGGTAACAGCTGTGGAAGGGATGCCATTTCTGAGGGACTTGCACAGACATGGAATGCCTGGAGTCCTCCACTAGTCCTATGACCAGCCTTTCTTTCCTTACTTCATGAAATTAGTAGCTGATTTTTCTAGCTGGAACCACCATATGGGCACTGGTTAATGTTTATAGTGTTTTCTATTTTCTTGGTAGTCTGTAGACCATCTCTGTCTAAAAATGAGCAGATTGGTTCTTACTGTTTTCCTGCTTCTCCTTCTCAGCATTTTACCTTCCTATCTGGGTGTGGGCCTTCACCATTTAACCTATCTGCCCCACTCATCCTTTCCCCGACTCCAGGTAAACAGAGCTGCTCATGTGTGTCCTGCTGTTTTGGCAGAAGCTTGCTTGCTTACTTCATTTATTCTTTCAACAAATCTTTATCAAATGCCTACTGTTTATATTTCAGACACTCTTCTAAATGTTGTGGAATCTGGAGTTAACAGACAAAAAATCTCTTTGTTCACGAAGCTGACATTCTGGTTGGGGAGACATTCAAAAATAAGACACATGTGCTATGTATGGCAGTGTAAGTACTAGAGAGGAAAGGAAGAAGAATTCTTGCCATCCCTACATGGAGATGAGCAAACATACTTTGAAGATAGTTTTCTGGAAATAATGATAGATGGGTATAGATTTATCTCATTCTTTTTGCCAAGCTTCCTTCTTAACCTGAGTTCATTCCTGTTAAAGGCAACGTGCTTCTGCCTGTCCTCTCTGATCCTGGGTCAGCTGCCGACTGGCCCATTCCAGGATGGAGTCGAGAATGGCCTTGGCCTTATTCTCACTTAGCATGGTTGCCCCAATGCCTACTTGTCAACTGTGCTGAGGATATCTTAATGCACGTGCTTCCTCAGAGCTCTTAGCTTTGCATATCTTAATCTTCAGGCTTTAGAATTTTATTTTCCCTGTCTCCTAACCACATAACCATCATGTGAAATCATCTGCAGAAACCCAACGAACGTATAAAAGAAATGAAAAGGCCAGGCACAGTGGCTCAAGTCTATAATCCTAGCACTCTGGGAGGCCAAGGCAGGCAGATCGTTTGAGCTAAGGGGTTCGAGACCAGCCTGAGCAAGAGCGACACTCTGTCTCTACTATAAATAGAAAGAAATTAGTTGGCCAACTAAAAATATATAGAAAAAATTAGCCAGGCATGGTGGCGCATGCCTGTAGTCCCAGTTATTTGGGAGGCTGAGGCAGTAGGATTGCTTCAGCCCCGGGAGTTTGAGGTTGCTGTGAGCTAGGTTGACACCACTGCACTCTAGCCGGGGTAACAAGAGTGAGAATCTATCTCCAAAAAAAATAAGATATGAAAGATCTGAATGGCAATAGAAAGTGTTTAGGATGAGGCCAAAGGCATTCTGGCTTCTTACCCCTTTGGGGTGCTTTGTCACCTCCATGGACGCCTGCCACAGAGCCATTATTTCTAGGGTAGCATTTCCGAGCCATTATTCTCAAATGGCATTGTCCTTTTGTGATTGCAGAAATATTCTGTAACTGGGCTTTCTAATATGGCAGCCAGCAGGCACACGTAGCCATGGCTGCTGAGCACATGAATGTGTGTTTACTGTGACTGAGAGAGTAAATTTTGCATTTTATTTCATTTTAATTAATTAAAAAATAGTCACATGTGTCTAGTGACTTTTTTGGAAGGTGCAGTTCTAGTGTAATGCTAGCTCTACAGTTAACATTTACTCATTGTGGTCTATTCTAGTTTTCCAGGTCATGGATAAAATATTAGTTTTAGATGATAATGAACTCTGAGGAGGCCTGGAATAAGATTTGGCTTATAACCTTGGGAAAATTATTCAGCCCCTCTAGGCAAGACCCCTCTGGGTCTCAGTTCCTTTTTTTATGAAGTGGGCAAATTTATAGTACCTTTTCATAGTGAGGTTTAAAATGAGATAAAGCATGCATAGCATTTGGCACAGTGCCTAACCCTGATTTTAGATGACTTATCCTAATAGAGTTTTTTTTTTGTGTGTGTATGTGCTTAGTTTTTGCTTATAAAAATAAAACATGCTCATTGTAGAACAGAAAAAAATAACAAGAACATAAAAATAACCTGTAATCCCACCATCCATAGACAAGCAACATGAAAACTTGTGGAATGTGGAAAAAAGTGTGGTATTGTATGTGTACATGTGTGACTACACTGACACTATTCATGTTAAAATGAGAGCTTTGGGGACTGTAGACTCTATGTGTATAAATTGTCTTGCAAAGCCTTTTTTTCTAAAATTATATACAAAAAAAAATCTTAGGAATTGTGTTGTGATTACTGAAAAGTATTTAAAAACTGGTGAATTGAATAGTTCACTAGTTGATTTTTCTAGATTTATCTTTGGTGATTAATTTTTCCAGAATATAAAAATTCTTTTTAGGATTTTTTTTTTTTTTTTCAGACGATAGGGAAAAAGAGAAGCTATATTGATGGTTTTATCCTGAGTTAAAACTGTGTCAGGCACTGTGCTAAGTGCTGGGAATACAAAAACAAACAAAATGTCATCATTGCTCTTAAGTAAATTATGGTCTAAATACTGTGTGATCAGTGCTGTAGGAGGCAGCTAGACAGTGTAATATGAGAACACAGGACTGTCTGGGCCAGCTGGGGTTGAAAAGGTTGTCAGCAAAGGATGTTTCACTAAAGTGACACCCGAATGAAGTTTTAAGGGAACGATGGACTCAACCGGACTGTGATGGGATGAAGAGGATTCTAGGAAATTGATGCAGTGAGTACAAAAGCCTGAGTGACCAGGGGCATTTGGAGACCTGCAGTAGTTCAGTATGGGGGTCAGAGGTTGAAGATAGGAGTCTGGAACAGTTGCAGGAGCCAGATGGGTCACAGACATCTTTTCTATGCTCTATTAAGGAACATAGACTTTATACTTAAGGTTTTAAGACAGCTTTGAAAATTACAAGAGTACAGGGGTGGGATCACTGGTCACATCCTTGGCATGTGTAGAAAAATGACTGGATGTGGTTTGGAGAATGGAGCAGAGATGAATAGATAATCAGAGATGAATAGACAGGGTTGGAGGCCATTTAGAGGGTTGTTGAATAGGCCAGATGAGAGATGATGGCTGATGAGGGTTTAAATTCAAGATGTTTGGGTCTAGCATTTGGGAGGGATGTTGAATGGAGTTATAGGTATAAGCCCTCCACATAATGACCATGGTGTGAATAAAGCCACCCTCTCTAGAGTGTGTACCATGTCAGACATTTGGCCAAGCATGTTATATATATTATCTGAGTTTATTCCCACAACACAGGGATTGAAAAGTATGGCCAACTTTACACAGGTGATGAGAGAGCTGGCATTCAGATCCTAGTCTCTGTCTCCAAAGCCCAGACTCTTTGTGACTATGATAGTGCGAATGAAATCACTAAGGTCTAGAGTTAAAATATGAAGAGGGCCTATGAGGGAACTTTGGGGAGAAAATGCCAGTAGTTATCACAGAGCAGGAGAAAGGGGAGCCCTTATTAGAAACTGAGAAGGAGCAGATAGGAAGGGCAGAGAAAGAGAGTGTTAGACTCATGGAATCCTGGGGACACTAATGATTCAAAAGGGAGGTGGTGAACAGTGTTAGATGCTACAGAGATGCCAGAGGAAGGACACATATGTTTCTTGTATTAATAATGAAGTGGCAATTGAGAAGATTTTCAGTGGTTGGAGATATCTTGATATTACATTTCAGGGTTATTTTAGTCAGGATTCTTTGGTTTAAGTGAAAATTAACTGAAACTAGATTTTTAGGTAAAGGAGGGATTAACTAGAATCTGTAGAAGGTTTGGAGTATGCAAATTTTGTAGAAATTTTAAAGATGCAACCAGTCCCTAGGATCTACTACAGTGAAGAACTTTAACCACTACGAAGATGATCTCTTGTCTCTTTGCTTCTTTTCTTCTTTCTATTAGTTGCCACTGTTTTTTCTCCCTTTTGAGATGGGAGTCTCACTCTGTTGCCCTGAGTAGAGCACAGTGGCATTATTATAGCTCATTGCAACATCAAACTCCTGGGCTCAAGCCATCCTCCTGCTTTAGCCTCCTGAATAGCTGTGACTATAGATGCGTGCCATCACGCCTGGCTAATTTTTTTCTGTTTTTGGTAGAGATGGGGTCTTGCTCTTGCTCAGGCTGGAGTTGCCGCCTTTTGTATTGCAGACCTGCTTTCTAGACGGAGAGGGCTATAGATGGTGCAGTTTTATAACTCTGGAGAGGAATTGTTTTTCTTTTCTCAATTCTGAATATAAAAATCTGGGAGAAGGACTGAGATCGCCTGTCATGGACTAGGTGCTGTGTCTAAGCCTGTCATTGGTTTCTTGGGTACAAAGTCATGAAAGAACATGATGACTCCCGAGGTAGTTTTGAGATTAGAGGGAATGACAGTTCCCAGTTCAGGGAGAGAAACATTCTAGCCAGACAGTCTCATAGATTTCCACTGCTAGTGCATGAAAGATAGAATGGAAAATGAGGAAGCATAAAAAGTGAATGGATTACTCTTTTAAGAACCTGGGCTATGAAAGAAAATTCTAGAGACTGTTTTGGTGATAACTAAAGAGGGAGAATTGGACATTGATTTTAGGTTATTTTATAGCCAAATCTTTTGAGATTTAGTAATGAGGATTGAAAATGTATTTATTTATAAATAGGAAATAGATGTTAATTTTAATGTTAATGGGAACAAAATTGCTGGGCAGACATTCTTGTGGACATGGAAATTTATGTGAACAGAGGAAGGCTAGTTATAATCACTAATTTTAAAATAATTTTTTAGTGGTCACTTTATTATCCAATACATGTTCTCTCAGTAGTTGTCTTTGTGTTTGTGGTGATCATAAGTCATATCTATTGAAGGAAACCAGAGAATGTTAGCATTTCCAAAGGATCTTTGGGGTCATGCAGTCTAACATGCTTGACTTTATAGATAAGAAAAGTAGAATCCAAAGAAGTGGAGTGAAGTAATTACTTATAGACACAGCAACTAACAGTGCCTATCAAAAAAAAAAAGGGGACTGTTTGCTCCCTGGGTATCTGTTTAGAAAGTGAGGACGTTTTTCCCAGAACCTCTCCCTTCTTGGCCCATTGTCCAGAGTTGGATCTCAACACTCAGCTCTGAAACCTGCTACTGATGAGAGAGATGTGAGAACCTGATTAACGTAAAACAAGGAGGATCTGCCCCAATAATTATGGGCAGAGGGTGAATACCTGAACAATATCAGGGCATTCTCCAGCAACGAAGAAAGCAACACAGGTTTTTGAGTAGGAACTCAGCAGTGTCTGCAACATGGACTAAGCTAAAGAGTTTATATTTTATTCTGTGGACAACGGGACTCTCCTGAAGATTTTAGATTAGAGAATAGATAAACTCACATTTGTATTTCAGAAATAACACTAGTCATAAAACATCTATGGTCTTAGTCTGTTTGTGCTGCTACAATAAATACCTTAGACTATAGCTTATAGTTTAGGGTAGTTTTTAAACAACAGAAATTTATTTTTCACAGTTCTGGAGCCTGGGTCCAAAGTCAAGTCACAAAGCAAGGCACTGGCAGGTTGGGTGTCTGATGAGGGCCTGGTCTCTGCTTCCAAGATGGCGCCTTGTTGCTGGAATGCTATGACTTCACATGGTGGAAGAGAGGGAAGGGCAGGAGGGGCCCCGTATAACTCTCTCCATCCCTTTTGGAAGAGGTTAATACCATCCATGAAGGTATAGCCCTCGTGAGCAAATCACTTCCCAAAGGCCTCACTTCTTAATAATGTTACATCGGTGATTAAATTTCAACACAGGGGTTTGGGGGAACATTCAGATCATAGCACCTAGGATAAGACATGAGGTGAAAAGTCATTCTTACCATTGCCTAAACTGTATAAGCTGGTTGTAGAGTTGAACTAAATTTCACCTGTGGTATCTTCCCATATTATCTACATTCCATTCTCTTTCTGTGTATTTCTGTGTTGTTGGTGGTGTGTGTCTGTCTGTTGTCATGAAATTAGGGTTGATATCTTTGAACTGGCTATAACATAGGAAATGGATTTCTAAAAGTTAGAAGTGTAACCATCTTTCCTATGAGAACCATGATTATACATGTTTATTAAGTATCCTCCTAAGGAGGAATTAAAAAAAAACAACATGTTGCTGTGAAGTTGCTTACCATTTTCATTGTTCGGAGTGTTTGGGAGTGTAATACATATATGCAGCCATCATACAGACAGACTGTGATAAATGCCAAAGGAGAGGCAGAGGTAATGTGATGTGGTTGGTTTCCAGGGCAATTTAGGGTAGCTGTAAAGGGATGTGTGATCTATAATGGCAGTGAAGAATGCGCAAGATGGGGCAGATAATTTTAAATGAGAGAAACAATAGCATGAAAAAGAAAGATAGAAAAGCTGGGGAACACCAAGGTGTCCTATATTGGTAGAGCCTAAATTTGAGGGAAAAGCCAGGGATGGTTCATGGAGAAGGTGGCACAGGAGAATGAAGCTCACACCTGTTGGTACCTCATATGAGTAGACAGCACACTAAGGTCTTAAACATATTATCTCATTTAATCTCTCACCACACACATCCCTTTCAGGGACAGAGGATTGCACCGGCATTTTTCTGATGAGGGACTGAGGCTCAGGATAACGACCTTACCTGGGGGCTCATTAATGATGGATTGAGAGAGTCCATGTTTGAAACGAAGTCTGTCTTAAGTCGGCAAGTTCTTCTGTTAGTCTAATATCCTTCTACTGTATCATTTCATCATGCTTAACATGTTAGCATTGGACTCTCATTCTCAGGTATTGTTGAAGGGTTCTGAGCAGAAAGAGACGTTACCAGGGTGCTGGTCAGGGAAACATGGGAGCTGGGTGGATGGCAGAAGTAGCCATCACTGTTGTTTTACAAGCCTGTGGACAGTCTTCTGTAACATCTCACCCACAGATGTTGGAGTCACTTAATGGCATCATTGTCAGAACTATATTTGCCATCTTCCCCAGTGAAATAAAAATAAAAATCCTATACCCAACTTCATTCCTCCCTAGCATCTTTCTTTCCTATTCCCTGTTAGTATTTAATAGTACCTCCCTTCCACTTGGGCTTATCCCCTTTAGTGCATACCTTCTGGTTTCCTTAACTAACACTTATTCAAGTATGACTAAATCCAGACTAATTGCCAATTGCCCAAAAAGTTCCTCGTATTCCATAACACCTCTGAGACTTCTAATATAATTGACCTGATGAACTCAGATAGAAAAAGATGTACCACCTACCAGCCCTGAACTTGCTGTCTTTTTATACTAGTTGTCTCTAGAATGGTATGTAAACCAGGAAAATATAGAATACCTATTTTTAATACTTTAAAAGCACATCTGGAACTATTTGAACTAACTAAAAGTAAAATAAGTGCCATGGCAGATTATGCCATACCTTTTCTTTTTACTTAAAAAAAAAGGAAATGGAAAGCATACCACTTCTAGAAGGCCCTGACATTGAACTGGATATTGAAACGGTATTGGTAATGTATTTATATATGCCACATTTTCTTCCATACATCAGCCATCTTTGCTACATATGTGCTGGATGTTTGCCATGTGACAGAAATGTTACTGTAGAGGGAAGATTGTCTTGTTTAGAAGTGCTACGAATCATTACAGTAGAAGTAAAGTCAACCATTTATTGTTATACTCATCTTCCCCCATTTATCTGATAGTGATTGTTTTTTTCTTTTCTTTTTTTTTTTCATTTCTTGATTTTTTTGTCACTTTGTGTCAGTCTCTGAATAAATGTCAGAATTTCCCTACAGCAACTCAAAAATAGAAATCACATACCAGAACAGTATAATTTCCATGAACTTAAAAAATTATATAAGAAATATTGTAACCTAATACTGGTTTTACCACATCCTCTAATTTGAAATGGAGTGAAATGCTTCTGTGGTTAAATCTGAGCTCATGTGCTGTTTGCTATAAATGTTTCAAGAATATATATTTCAAAAAAAAATTTTTTTTAAATAATCCAAAACAAATGCAACAGGACTCAGCATACTTGAAACACACTTTCCGGATTTATCTTAGATCTCTCTGTTTCAGAGGGTTTGTGCGTGTGTATGGATCAGGCCCGGCCAGTTATTTCACCATCTTTCTCCATCCTGAATTGATTGCCCTGAACAGCCCGGAATGAGTTACATATGGTCCTACTTTGTCTCAGTTTGTAGGACTTCTGGGTTGGAACTCCATTTGATCAGAGTGAAGCTAACTGTCACAAAGACTTGGCTAATGTCAGAACCCTAAATAAATACACGTATGCATATATGCTGGTTAGAATGTTTATATTTCTTCTAGGAGTAGTGTTTTTTATGCACTGATTCAGTAGTCATTTTTCCTAAAACATTGATGACATGGTAAGAAAAAAAAAATTACTGATGGTGATGATGATGTTGATGTTCTGGATAGGAATCATGTTATTAATACAAATGTGGACCCAAACCAGGTATTCAAAACATTTTCAAACCAAAATATGAATGCACCAAAAATCTTTCTAAAATCGGGACAGAAGAAGATAGAAATATTATACTAAGATTTTCTTAAATACAAACTTAAATCTTTAAGTTTGAAGAGGGTTTGAAACACATTGTCAGCTGTATAGGTTATTTCCTTTTTTTTCTTAATGTGGGCTATTTAGAAAAGAAAAATGGGTTTCAGATATGTTTTAAAGTGTAGATATTGCTCCTTAACTGTAGGGAGCCAGGGAGGCGGCTGTGCTGGGGGGGGGGGGGGTCCAGCATGTCCCTGGGGAGGTGCTGGAAGCTGTTGAGGGCAACTTGCTCCCCCTTCAGGCTCTTGCCTATTTATTTTGTTCTTTTCCCTCTTTTCATCTTTTTCCTTCTATTGCTTTATTTATTTTTTCGTTACTCCCACTTCCCCTTCCCCCTCCTGCTCTTCCTTTCTCTGTCTGTGCAAACCACGTGCTTCAAATCTGTGTATCTGGACTGCCTTCTCTCACAGTTCCCTGTGAGTGTTAGCAGAATGAAAACCAGATGGACCAGCAGTTCCCACTGTTATCTCCCAGCCGACTCTGGCAAGCCTCCCTTTCTCCCTCCCTCCCTGGCATGACAGAAATATTTGCCTTTATTTAGGGAGACTTGTATTTGCTGCTGTACCTCTTCCCTCAGCTGCAACATAAGCGGAAAGCTATTTATTCCCTTGTTGCTGAGGTTGGTTGAGGTGAGTAGAATGTGCAATGAATTTAACTATTGAAGAAGCAGTTTTAAGCCTGCCTAACTTCGGTATTTTTCTAGAATAAGTTTTCTAGAACAAGTTACTGATGATACTGGTTGTGAAATGTTCTGGAATAGCAATAGGAAGATAAGTTTTTAACAATAAGATAAAGGTAAAAAATGCTCTCAATGTGTGCCTCTGCCATCATTTCACCCAGAACACTTTTATTCACATTACTGTTATTCGACCAGCAGTGGAGATTAAGAACTAGAGACCCTGATGCCACTGATAACTAGATCGTCATGCAAAATGCTCTTAATAGAATGATTATTTTCATTCTTTTATTATATTTTCTCTAAAATGATAGCAACATTGTTTCAACTTTCAAATGTTGTGTTTTATTGCAACCCACATCCTAAAAAATTGCTTTGAACAAAAAAGTGAGGTAGGTTTGGAATCATGATACTAGTAATTTGGGTTTTTCATTTTCTTTTAATAACTGACTTTTAAGGAATTTTGAGAATTTTTCACGATGGTCGTTATTATAATATTTTAAAAGCCTTGTTCTTTTTTAGTAGTGTATGTTACTTTACTTTTCTAAAAGTCCAAGTGGGAAATATTTGTGTCTAACGATCCAAGAGGTGCCTCGAAACATTTTTGGGGTGTGTGTGTGCGTGTACGTGCACACGTGTTTGTAGAAAATTGGATCTAAAGAAACAAACAAAAATCTGTCATTTTTCCTGGCGATCTGATGCTTTGATAAGTAGATTAAATTGAGAAAAACACTTCAAAATTTGAAGGGAAAAGTATACTTAAGAGAAAACAGTTCTGAAGTACAAATGTTCATATTGGGTAATCAGGACATTTCTCCATGTCTGTCACATGTTCATGGCGGAAAAGAAAAAACCAGGAGTGTCTTTAGTTCTTTTTAGTTCTCATTTTGAGACTTTTATATCCTCACGCTTGTCTGAGATTATTAATTGGACTATTGGTCTCATAGTTTTAAAATGACAGATCATAAATTCAGACATTCTAAGTAAATAATAGCTTCACTTCATTGTGTAATATACAGCATGTAGGTAGTGGTGATTTTTAGAACAGGGCAGAAAAATTGAAGTGAGAGTTATGTCTGGGAAACATAACCTGCTTCATCTAATAGGCTAGAAAACTGAAGATAGAAAGGGGATAGCAGGTGTTATAGAAAATCATCACAGAGAACCGGCTCCTACCAGTATCTCACCTGCGTAACAGACTTTAGGTTTTTGTTATTTCTGAGCTGTCGTGAGGGATTCATTATCATCCTACTTCCTCATCTATTTTCTAGCTCTTGCTAACATTGGCTTCAGTTTCCAGTGAAGTTGTGCTGTTGCATATAACACTACCAAGGTAGCATCTGCCTAAGCCAGAAATAACAATAGGATATAATATAACCTAGTTACAAATGGGGTCCTGCCATCTGTGCTACACCTTCTTAAGTGGAGTTTAGATGATAAAATCCTGATTTAAACTTCAGTAGATAAGCATATTTTATTGATAGAAGATGTTGCATTTCTTCTGTTCACTTGCTTTTAAAAAAGATAAACTCCACTTGAAAATGTGAGGTGCTTAAGGAGTAAAATAACATGTTCCTGGTGGCATCCTCCAGATCGTACTGAGAAGCTCTCCACAATGCCAGACTCACCTGTGGATGTGAAGACGCAATCTAGGCTGACTCCTCCAACGATGCCCCCTCCCCCAACTACCCAAGGAGCTCCAAGGACCAGTTCATTTACGCCGACGACATGTAAGTACTCATTGCTGTCTTTGGAGTTTTGGTTTTAAAGTTTAAATTAGATTATATTTTTTTTGTCTGCAGATGAAAAATCAAAGGAAAATAAGATTCAGCATCAATGTATTATGCAGAAATGAAGCAAAAAAAAAATTGTTTGCCAGTAATTAGGTGTGAGCACAGAAGTATCATAGCTTAGGTGTAATTTGTATGACTGCCAATATTTGCCTTCCTTTCATTATTGCTTCAGTGTTGTAGTCTGCTATGATTTTAGCAAATGAAACTGCATTTGTTCTGTAACTCCCAGTTGTTGCCACTATAACTTTTAATTCATCTTAATGTGGAGCACATTAGTTTGTTCTGTTTGACTTGGGACATGGACATATGCTATAATTATTTCTAGGTTACTTTTGATCTTCCAATACTGCTTTCTTTTATTTCAAACTGTTACAAATAATGTTAAAATGTAACATCTTTAAGTAAAAAGAGTATTGCTATATGCAACAGTCTCATACAGAAAACTCTGAAATAAGTAGCATCTTCCTTGACTCGAACCTGTTAGATTTTTATTCTCTCTTGGCTTGAGTCTTGTGTTCTGAGTCCATGGAGGGTATTGCTTTCTGTATTGTCCAAGGAAGGGACAGAACATTGTGACAGAAGTGCAACTTCCCTCTCTTTCTTGTGTATTTCAGTAGAGATAGTTGCTAACCTGTTTTAGTCCATCTCAAAGTCCTGGTTAGAATTGGCATCAAGGACTTGTGAAACTAGTATGTATTATATGTTGCAGATAATTCTATTTACAGACCACGTGCCATGAAATCCATATGAATGAAAAATAACTAATAAGCAAAAATAGATCCATGGGACTAGAAGGGAGCTACAGAGAGCCCATACCAGGCTGTTTATGCAGTGTTGCATTGCCATTTAAAAGACCTCCCTAAACATGTAAGGAGCAGGCAGCTGTGCTGTGTGTGCCAAGTTGTAACCCTGTCATCTTATATTTGGTTTGTTGTTACCCAAAGCCACGGTAATAGGCATGTGTCCCTTGTGAAATGTCCTGATCGAGATAGCATTCCTTGACAGGTTACTTTGCTACTCATTTGGGACAAGAGAACCATTTTTGTTATCGTACAATGAAACTTTTAAGAATAATAGAGTCCTTAAAACATCTTCTAACTATTGTTAGAGATAGTTGTTTATCAAAATTATATTTAAAAATGGATTTGACAAAGATCATTTTGTCAAATTAATTGACTTAACATGATAAAATCAATGCTTTCCTTGGTGAGAAATATGCAGCTTTTAAAGCCTAGATCTTATGGATTATCATCTTTTTTGTTTTCTTTTTATTTATTTTAATTAACGTGTAATAATTGTGCATTTATAGGGTACAGAGTGATAGGGATTATCATCTCAATGTTCAAATACATTTTATCAGAAATAAATTTACTGAATCCCCACCAATCTGTGCTCTTGGTTGGACTGAGGTGTCACCTTTCGATTTCTTGGAATAGCTCCTCGATGAACACCATGTCCATTTTGGCTTTGTATGAAAAATTTTCATTTTTCCCTAAAGAAGTGGTTGAGAAATACGAGGGGGGAGAAAATAGCCTTCTAATTGGGTGGTGGAAGGTTAAAACTTGAAAGTCCCATTTCTATAAACACAGCTGTCAGTTGTGTGTACAAAACATGATTAAAAATGTTCACTGATAAATTTAGTCTCCGCGAAATGTACACTTTCTCTAGGGGAGCAGTTTAGAAAGGAATAGTCCTGTTATATTGATGTAAGCCCGAGACAAAAGGCTGACATCCCAAGCTGTCTGTTCTGCGTTTGAAACATTTCAGGTGGCTGGCATATGTGCACGTGGGAGGCAGGGCTGGCCCTGCGCTGCAGCAGGCCCCGTTTATCGGCAGCTTCTGTGCAGAACGCTGTCGCTCAGTAAGAGGAATAGACCCACTTAGTTAGAGTCCCTGGGAGTGTGGGAAACCTGTAAAGTCAAAGCATTTTACAGAAAGTCTCAACGTTTTTAAAATTACAAAACGACTATATTTTAAGGGAAGGAAACTTGGTGGCAATCTCCTTGTGCGTGTTCTCTGTGAATTTATACTTTCCTTCTGATTTTGTGCCCTTGACAGTAACTAATGGCACGAGCCATTCACCTACAGCCTTGAATGGCGCCCCCTCACCGCCCAATGGCTTTAGCAACGGGCCTTCCTCCTCTTCCTCTTCTTCTCTGGCTAATCAACAGCTGCCCCCAGCCTGTGGCGCCAGGCAACTTAGCAAGCTGAAACGGTTCCTTACTACCCTACAGCAGTTTGGCAATGACATTTCACCAGAGATAGGAGAAAGAGTCCGCACCCTCGTACTGGGACTGGTGGTAAGCAAATAGAAATTAACCCAATTTTCTGGGGTAGGGGAGACTGTGTGGGGGAGATTCAGAAATACAGATACCCATTCTCACAGCCGTTGTATCATAATAGTTTCTGAAGACTGTGTGCAAATCTGGTTCATTCTGGGATAACAAAGTTTCAGTTCTGCCTCATGTATTGACCCCCACCGTGGATTCTTTTGCTATTTGACTCATAAAGATAATGGTTATACAGGTTTAGTGTTATCTTGGCCATAAACGTGTGTGTATATATACATATGTGTATATCTATACATGTGCATATATATCTATATTCATATACACATATATATGTGAGTGTGTATATGTATATGTGTGTGTATATACATATGTGTGTATCTATACATGCGTGTATATATATCTATGTTCGTGTGTACATATATATTGGAGTGTGTACATGTATATGTGTGTGTATATATTTTTTCCAGTATTTTAATAAATATGTTTCCCAACATTGCCATTGGCTTTCAGGAATGACCAAATGGTTTTGTTCTGTTGATTCACTTAATCTAATTGGGTGCTTATTTAAACTTAGCTGCTCTGGGGAATTTTTTGTTATTGGCCTAGACAAACAAGAATTTATAACAAGTAACACATTCATCTTTTACGTAGTTTCATTTTTAAGGCTAATAACATTATTTTTTTATTGTAGTAAAATAGACCTAAAGTTTACCAAGTTAAAACCATTTTAAATGTACACTTCATTGGCATTAAGTACATCCACATCCAGCCATCACCACTGTCCGTCTCAGAACTTTTTCATCGTCGCAAACTGAAACTCCATACAAGTAAACAATAATTTCTCATTCCTCTTTATCCCCAACCCTTAGTAGTCACTAATTGTCTTTTTTTTTTAATCCAAAGTTTTGTTATAGATAGAACTATTTAAACCATTAGTTTGAGAACAGAACCGTTGATTTTGCCACATTCTACTTATTTTGTGCATTATCTCACTGGAAATTAGAACATATAACCCCTTTTTGCACCCTAAGTTACTTCTGTGTTTGTTGTGACTTTTTGTAGAAGTGGAGATTTTTCTAGTATTTAGGAAGGCTATTTTGTCATAGTAAACTGGATCATGAAGAAATTGAGTCATATATTGAATCCTTTCATCATCCAGGCTCATGGTAGGACTAAAATTCAGATGATAGGTAGCAGTTTCCTTTGTGTTAAAATAAATCATGTATTTTTATTGTGTGGACCTATCGTGGGCAAAGCCATACCAGTTGTGTTTTGCAAAAGAAGTCCTAGAATTAGAAGGCTGGGTGAGATACTAGTGCAGAAGACATGCTTCAAATTACTATGTCCCACATTTGACAGAGATTTGTAATTTAATTTTTAACCATAAATTGCCTCTTCTCACTCTAAGAACATAAGACTTTCATATTTCCCACAATCTATCAGCCCCACCTTGTATACCTCCAGGACAGGAAGGGGACTTAGAGGTGTGTCAGCATACTTCAGGTACTTCTGTCAGTCACTTATCATTTCCTTTTTATTCATTCTTGAATTTTACATACTAGGATTTTTTTTTTTTTTTTTTTTTTGAGACAGAGTCTCGCTTTGTTGCCCAGGCTAGAGTGAGCGCCATGGTGTCAGCCTAGCTCACAGCAACCTCTAACTCCTGGGCTCAAGCCATCCTACTGCCTCAGCCTCCTGAGTAGCTGGGACTACAGGCATGCACCACCATGCTCGGCTGATTTTTTTCTATATGTATTAGTTGAGCAATTAATTTCTTTCTATTTATAGTAGAGATGGGGGTCTCATTCTTGCTCAGGCTGGTTTTGAACTCCTAACCTTGAGCAATCTGCCTACCTCGGCCTCCCAGAGTGCTAGGATTACAGGCGTGAGCCACTGTGCCTGGCCCATACTAGGCTTTTCAACATGTAAATAAGTTAGACCAAAGAACCACAAAGTAAATCCAAAGCAATATCAAGTAAATGGTGAATATGTTATTCTTAGTAAAATATGTTTTTTTTTAAAACTGCCTTATAAATTTGTTATGTTCTTTATTAACAGTGGTTCCATAACTTGTAGAAAAATTTGGTAGCTTTAAGTAGATTTTTCCACATACTAAGTGGCATACTTTTGAATGAAATACATTTGACAAACATTTATGCACAAACCTTAGAAAAGTAAAGGCAAGGTATTAATTAATGGTGCTTACATGTAATGGGGAGTGAATATTTGTCAAATGAATGAATGAACAGAGAACAGATGTTTTAAGCATTTGATTGTACACCATTTTATGTAATTCTTAGAACTACCCTCTTAATGATTTTCTTTTTTTGAGGGAAATATTTTTATACACATTTTACACATAGGGAAACTGAGGTTTACAGAGGTGAAGTAAAATACACAAGGCCACCCAACTGGGTGACAGACCTGTGACAGATTCAAACTAGGTACTGCATCATAATGAATCACATCATGCTGTTACTTAGGTAGAGTTAATAAAAGTGTTAGAAGGTACTCTCCTTTTGAAAATGAGTCACAGAAACAAAATGATAGGTCAAAAAAAATTGCCCCCCCGCCCCCATTTATTGTTATAGATAGGAAGTTGGTGCTTTTTGTTTGGTTTTGGTTTTTTTTTTTTTTTTTTTTTTTGAGACAGAGTCTCACTTTGTTGCCCAGGCTAAAGTGAGTGCCGTGGTGTCAGCCTAGCTCACAGCAACCTCAAACTCCCAGGCTCAAGCAATCCTTCTGCTTCAGCCTCCCGAGTACCTGGGACTACAGGCATGTGCCACCATGCCCGGCTGATTTTTTCTATATATATATTAGTTGGCCAATTAATTTCTTTCTATTCATAGTAGAGACAGGGTCTTGCTCTTGCTCAGGCTGGTTTCGAATCCCTGACCTGGAGCAATCTGCCCGCCTCAGCCTCCCAGAGTGCTAGGATTACAGGCGTGAGCCACCGCGCCCCGTCAGGAAGTTGGTGTTTATTTAGTTTCTTATGAAGATGTTTTGAGGTATGAAAAACTTATAACTTGGTGCCTTATTATAAGAAGAAAAGGAACTGCATACAAAAGTGGGTGGAGAAATATTCCAAAAATATTAGGTTACAAATGCCCAAATTTTGTCAGTCATCAGTATAACTGAAGGCAATGAGAAAGATAAGACCGAAGTTACAGTTGTGATTCTGCCCACAGACTAAGAAAAAAGAATCAAAATATGGTTGCTTTACTCAATGCCTCTACAATAGGTTGGTTGGTAGATTCTTTTATCAGCACACGTTATCCATGGTAGGATACAAATCCTGAGTATTTGGGGCTTGTTTATTTATGTATAGTTAGGGTAGGTAAGGAGTGAATTTGGGTCATTTTGATCAGTCCTTTTTGAGTTGAACAGTACACATTGCCTCTAGGATAAATGGAATGTCTTAGATAACTAAGTAATGTTTTTCACCCTCTACCAAACTCAGTGACTCAGAGAAAGTTCAAACCTTTTCTTTGGCTTTATTAGCATAGCACACTACCCAAATTGGCTGTTCACTCTGAGAGCAAAGATGCTTTGGCAGGCAAAGAAAGAATGCAAGATGGAAATACAGGAGGAGGAGAAGAATATTTCCACCAGCAGTAGCACTGACATTACATGTGTGGTGAATCCAGAGACTCTGACACTTGCCTTTGGCTCTTTTTGTGATCAGTTATGCTTTTAAATACATCCAAGTGTGTTTGTTTTTCATAATGGTAGTATAAGAAAGTCCTTCATAATTGCAGAGATTTCTCTGATCATTAAACTATGTTAGTATCCATGTGCATCATTCTCAAAGTACCATATTTAATGTGTTTTATTTTCAGATGCAAGTTTTTGAGGTGGGTCATACAATAAACTATCGTGTGATCTTTTTTTTTTTTTTACAAAGTCAATAGGTTTTATATTGAAAATACTGCTTTCTGTCTGTATGTCTGCTTGCTATTACACTGTGTTGTAGCAGTATTAGTAATTTGTTAGTTTTAGTGTTTTTACTATTTACCAGAGACAGTGTATTTATAATACATATTTGTCTTCCACAGAACTCTACTTTGACAATTGAAGAATTTCA